TGAGTATCCGCACTGATGGGAGGGTGGTGAGGGTGTATGCGTGAGTGTGCACGCATGCGCTGAGTGTGAGTATCCACACTGATGGGAGGGTGGTGAGGGTGTGTGCATGAGTGTGCACGCATACGCTGAGTGTGAGTATCCACACTGATGGGAGGGTGGTGAGGGTGTGTGCATGAGTGTGCATGCATGCGCTGGGTGTGAGTATCCACACTGATGGGAGGGTGGTGAGGGTGTGTGCGTGAGTGTGCACGCATGTGCTGGGTGTGTGTCCACACTGATGGGAGGGTGGTGAGGGTGTGTGCGTGAGTGTGCACACATGTGCTGGGTATGAGTATCCACACTGATGGGAGGGTGGTGAGGGTGTGTGCGTGTGTGTGCATGCATGCGCTGAGTGTGAGTATCCACACTGATGGGAGGGTGGTGAGGGTGTGTGCATGAGTGTGCACGCATGCGCTGAGTGTGAGTGTCCACACTGATGGGAGGGTGGTGAGGGTGTGTGCGTGAATGTGCATGCATGCGCTGGGTGTGAGTATCCACATTCATGTCCTTGCGTGTGCAGGTAGGTGTACATATGAAGGGTTCTTCTGGTTAGGCCTGGGTGGGTGTGTGGCAGGTATCTTGGGCAGACATGCTACTTTTTAAATGTATTGTTTTGCTTTTAAAGTAATACATTTTATGATCTAAAGCAGATGCTTAGAGAAAATGATATAACCAATACACACCTTAATTTGTGCCAGGCCCAGATCTAGGCCCTGGGAATATATGAATAAAACAAACAAAAATCTCGGCCATGCTGCATTTATCTTCTATGGGAAAGAGGCAGGCAGTAACTTAAGTCAATGATGTGACGTTTTTGAAAGTGTAGGTGCCATGGGAACAAGATGAGCAGGGTAAAGGGGTCAGCAGTGGGGGTGGAGGGGGTGATGTAGGGATAATGATTTTAAGTTGGTAGTAGGGTGGGTCTTGCTGAAAAGAGGATGTTTGAGCAAAGAGCTGCAGCAGGGGAAAGAAGCGCTGTATGGATGTCTGGGGAACGCCAGTGCCCTGAGGTGCCAGGGGGCCTGAGGTGCTTGAGGAGAGTGAGGAGAGGCCAGTGTGGCTAAAGTGGAAAGGCGAGGGTGTGAGATGAGAAATGAAGTCTGGGAGTCCCGCTCTTGCAGGGTGTAGGAGGCCATCCATCCTAAGGATTTAGGCTTTTATTCCTGGCGAGTACCAATTCACCTGAGTACGCCTGCCAGAGGTGTCTGTAGGTAGCAGGCTGATGTGATGGGGATGCCCCAAGCCTGCATATGGGACCCATGCACCTTCTTGGGCAGTGAGCTCTTAACCTTCACCCAGGTGGTCTGGGATGGGAGGAACAGCTATGTGGAGAGGGAAGGCATCTCCCCTGCAGAAGGGAGTGAGGATCTCTGGTTTGGATCCAGCCGAATTGTTTACTGACTGTCTAGCTTTGAGCAAGTAAACTCATTCTATGGTCTATGAAATGGGTATAACGATACTTCACACTCCACAAGTGGAGATGCTGTGAGGACTGACTTGGCTAAAGAATGTGAAAGGGTGGAGGGACAGAGTGCAGCAGGGCTTGGTGGCCTCAGGCCCTGCTTTGTGTCCTTGCAGGCGGCCAACATGTCTGGGACGTTTGGAGGAGCCAACATGCCCAACCTATACCCTGGGGCCCCTGGAGCTGGCTATCCACCAGTGCCTCCTGGGGGTTTTGGGCAACCCCCTCCTGCCCAGCAGCCTGTTCCTCCCTATGGGATGTATCCACCCCCAGGAGGAAACCCACCCTCCGGGATGCCCTCATATCCGCCATACCCAGGGGCCCCTGTGCCGGGCCAGCCCATGCCACCCCCTGGACAGCAGCCCCCAGGGGCCTACCCTGGGCAGCCACCAGCAACCTACCCCGGTCAGCCTCCAATGCCACTTCCTGGGCAGCAGCAGCAGCCAGTGCCAAGCTACCCAGGATACTCAGGGTCTGGGACCGTCACCCCCGCTGTGCCCCCAACCCAGGTAAGTGTCAGCCTACTGCCTCCCTCGGTCCAGGCCTGGGCCCCAAAGGCTGGAGACACATAGCCCAGTAGATGGGGAGACAGGGAAAGGCACAGGCCTCCAGCTGCAACCTCTTTTTTAGTGTCGGCTGGGTGCAGTGGCTCATGCCTGTTATCCCAACACTTTGGGAAGTTGAGGTGGGCAGACTGCTTGAGCCCAGGAGTTCAAGACCAACCTGGGTAACATGGTGAAAGCCCATCTCTACTAAAAATAGGAAAAAATTAGCTGGGCATGGTGGTGTGTGCCTCAGGAGGCTGAGGTGGGAGGATCACCTGAGCTCAGGAGACAGAGGTTGCAGTGAGCTGAGATCACGCCATTGCACTCCAGCCTAGGTAACAGAGCAAGACCCTGTCTTAAAAAAAAAAAAACACAGAAAACGGGCCAGGCACGGTGGCTCACGCCTGTAATCCCAGCATTTTGGGAGGCTGAGGTGGGTGGATCACGAGGTCAAGAGATGGAGACCATCCTGGCCAACATGGTGAAATCCCATCTCTACTAAAAATACAAAAATTAGCTGAGCGTGGTGGTGCATGCCTGTAGTCCCAGCTGCTCAGGAGGCTGAGGCAGGAGAATTGCTTGAATCCGGGAGGCGGAGGTTGCAGTGAGCCGAGATCGCACCACTGCACTCCAGCCTGGTGCCTGGCGACCGAGTGAGACTTTGTCTCAAAAAAATAAATAAATAAAATAACAGAAAAACAAAGCATCACCTTCTTGCAGACTCCCCACCTTCCCACCTCTGGGTTGTGTTGCTTAAGGCCCAAGGGAGCTGCCCGTTTCTCCCAGCGTGATGAGAGGCTCCACATGAGAGTTGGGTCAGAACGCCCCATCGAGTGTTCCTCATTCCTCTGCCATTTACTGTCTGGGCTGTGTGTTTTGTAAGAGCTGCCTGGGGCGCCCGTCTCAAGGCTTTGTGCCCAACAACTCTCTTTGGTCCCCTTGATATTCGCCCCTACAGATAGGTTTTGGAGGATTCTTAAAATTGCCTTTGGGTAGGGAAAATGTTGGCAGTTTCTCCAGGGTTGATCTTGGCTCATTTTGGAGAACGGTTCATGGTTGCAGAACCTAGAATTCATTGTCATGGTTATATGGCCCAACCAGCCAGCACAGGGGTAGTGGTTATGTGCTTGATGACTATTTTTAGACAGAGTGTCTCCTTTCCTCCTTCCCTTCCGCACCCACATGTTCCCCCACCCCATGCCATCCTCCAGACTCCCTCCATTATCTTTTCCCTGGGCTGTTCCCATAATTGTGTTATAACCAGTTTGTACCAGCCCCTAGGAAGACAGTCCACTGGGAGACAGTTTAACCTGGAAAGTTCAAGTTCAAGTTTGCTGGGTTGTGCAGCTGCCAGGGTCTGGAGGTGGTAGTCTAGAGCACATGCCAGGGAACCAGTGCTAGATCAAGAGGTTGTCGGGGTGCCATGCACAGTTGTGGAGGCTGGACACTACATCCACCAGAGGGGAAATGTGGGCTAGCCAGCCCTGTTAGGAGTACTCAACGTGTGCTCACCTGTGCTGTGGAGGCCAGGCATTGATGAGAGAGGCTGCAGCCCCTGCTCCTGAGGCCTGCCCTTACTCAGGAGTCTGATCCCCAGCCCTGGAGGACCTGGGCACCGGGCGGATTTTCAGCGTCAGGACTCAGCTGTAGGTGGGCTCCCAGCCGCTGGAGCCAGGAAGAAGCTCCAGTACCAGAACACGAGGCCAAATAACAGTCAAGTTAGGCAGACTCGGTATAGAGTCTTCTGTGTTGTTGACTGTGGGCACCTTCGGATACCCCAACTCTTAGAGAGAGGGCTATTCCCAGAGTCTGGAGGTGGAACAGTCTTGCATCTGGGGAAGGCGGCGTGCATGTCATCTTACCTGTGACTGTTTGTCTGATTAGTTTGGAAACAGAGGCACCATCACCGATGCTCCCAGCTTTGATCCCCTGCGAGATGCTGAGGTGCTGCGGAAGGCCATGAAAGGCTTCGGTGAGAGACCCTGGGTGGCTCAAATCCTGCCCTGCTGCCCATTCCCCAGGCAGTCTCACAGTGGCTCTGTGGGCTGGGATAGCCAGGGGATGCAGACCTGGCCTCAGTGGTAATAAAAGAGAAGGTGGATATGGGGGTGCAGCTGGGATGCCCAGAAGAGTTGAGGGACGCAGGCCAGGGAAGGCTCAGCTGCAGAACATCCTCACGACCCCCACCCCAGCCACCCCTGTCGCCTCTTCCTCCAGGCACGGATGAGCAGGCCATCATCGACTGCCTGGGGAGTCGCTCCAACAAGCAGCGGCAGCAGATCATCCTGTCCTTCAAGACAGCTTATGGCAAGGTGAGCTGCGGGGTGGGGGCAGGGGACAGTGAGGCGTGTCCTCGGCTCAGCAGAGTCCCGCTCACCCCTGCTTTTCCTTGGGTGGGCCCAAGTCTTCCAGATGGACAGTAAAGAGCAGGAGGGCATTTCCTTCTGCCCACCCAGCTGGTGGCAGCGTTGGAGGTGAAGGATGCCCTGAGGGAGAAATGAGTCCACAGGGTGCGGAAGTTTGCTGAGAGGTTCCAGATGTCTAGCCCTGGGGTCTAGCCCTGGCTCAGCCACAACTCACTGAGGTTGTGGCCACATCATTTTCCCTCTGTACCCTCTTCATGATTACCCTGGGAGATTTAGCTGTTACAAGAGCTTTGCAGGAAAAGGCTGTGAGTGCTGCCCAAGTGCGGGGAGTGTGTATGAGTGTATTTTGAGCTTCTGGGATTTTGAATCTTAGAAAGGTAAAAATTGGGTGAATATTGATTAGATTTGTGTGCTAGCCCAGTGCCTCTCATACTTCAATGTGCCATGGATCCCCTGGGCATCTTGGTAAAAAGTGGTCTCCGATTTGGGAGGTCTGGGGCCCCTGGGGGATGTCCATGCTGCTGGTCCTCGGATCTGGGATATGGCTCTCATTAGTCACCTCCTGTGGATTTTAAAAATAGACTTGTTTTTGGTTATTTTTTTTATTTGAATATCCAATCAGGATTTGATCAAAGATCTGAAATCTGAACTGTCAGGAAACTTTGAGAAGACAATCTTGGCTCTGATGAAGACCCCAGTCCTCTTTGATGTTTATGAGATAAAGGAAGCCATCAAGGTGTGTACGTGTGTGTGTGTGTGTGTGTGTGTGTGTGTTCATGTGTTTGGACACAGCCCAGAAGGAGGCCTGGACAGTGTGCTGTGTTCTAGCCCACTCATTAGCTGCTGTTGTCAGTATGACTACCAGGCCTTCCTGGGTTGGAGTCTGCATACTGTAGAAAGGGGGAACTCCCTTTGATTTCCCCAAGAGGCAAATGATGCACCCATCATCATCAGGGAGCCCTAGGTCTCTCTCCATCTTAAAGAAATGGTGGAGCTGGGGTTTGAAGTTAGTGGCTCTGATAAGAAGAGGGTTAGGAGGCCATGGCTGGTATCGTTCTCGTCTTTAGGACTCTGCTACTAGCAAATGACAGAAACACGCTTCGGTTTAAGCAGAACGAAGGCGGGAAATCAGTTACGTGGGTAAAACCAAGCTGCCTGGCGTGGAGAGGGCCAGGCCAGATGTCTCTCTGGTCTCTGCTTCTCCTGAGCATCCGCTCTTCTGTCCGATTCTGTGCTTCTCCTGCCATGGCTGCTTCTAGAGGGTGATTGTCAACCACTCTCCACATACCTATGAGATCCAGCACAAGAACAGGGGCTGGTTCAGATGGGCACGGCTTGGGCTCACTGTTTCCTTAAGGCCTGTGAGTTTTGGCCGAGGGGGTGGGTCCTGTCCCTTCTGTGCAGTCTCACAGCTCTGTGTGCACCCTGTGGGTGGGGCCTGATGGCTCCCTTGGAAAGGTAATCCCATGAGTCAGGCAGGAGCCCAGGAGGAGCCTGTCACTCAGAGGCCTGATAAGCACAGTGACCGTTCCCTCCCCAGGAGAAGCAGAGACTTACGTGTGGTGGCCTGGAAAGGAGAGAGGTTTCCACTGAAACACGTCTACACGTGTTATTCTAGGGAGGGGGTCAGGAGGTGACTGGGCAGGGGGATGGCCTGGGGCCCCAGGGAGTGGCTCCCAGGCATCTGCCTGGCCCCCGTCTTCAGCCAGAGTCATGAGCTAGTGATTGTGGAGTGTTAGAAACCACAGGTTTGGGCAGCTGTCACTCACCAGCTGTGTGTCCTTGAGCACTTGTGAAATGGGGACAGTGGATGCTGTCTCAGGACATGCTGGGACGACTGGGTGAGGGGCTAACATGTACTAACATGTCGTAACCCAACAGTAGCTACAGCGGGAAATGGCTGCCAAAATGCCGCACGTCCTGCCTGACAGGCCCTAAGTGCTCTATATGCAGTAACTCACTTCATCCTCATGACTTCCCTGTGAGGTAGGTCCCAGTATCACTCCCATCTTACAGACAAGGAATTGAAAGCACAGAGAGGTTACGTAACATGGCTGTGGTCACACAGTTAGTAAGCCGCAGGGCCAGGATTCAAACTAACATACAAGCCGGGCTGCTCAGCCTGTCCTCTGCCTTCTCACTGTCCCTGGCATGGCTGTCCCATTCATCCTCGTTGTCCCTGCCTTTTCCTAGTTGTTTCCAGACATTCCGCCACCCCCTCTAGGACTGGATTTTCCGTGTGTCTACTTGGATCTCTCTTACTTTTTACCCATTTTTTTCAGTTGTTGTCATCTGACTTCCAGCTGCACCCTGAATAAAGCAGGCCTCGGTCCACATTGTAACCTACCCATTTACTGTGTGGCCTTGGACCAGGCAGTACCCCTGTCTAATACTCAGTTTTCTGATCCACGTGGATGCCCCTTTGTGTGAGCCCTGCTTATCACCACCAACTGTCACTGTGCTTGCCTGGGCTGTGGAGAGGAGCTGATTCCCTCAAGCCTGGGAGTGGCTGGAGGGTGTGTCTCTGTGTCAGGGGCCTCTGTTGCTGGGGTTTGTCCCTGGGGTCAGGGCAGCAGCGTGGCCCCCGCTCTCCTTCCCGGGTGCTGGTGAGGCTGCTGGAACAAGCGCACGGTTGGTTGTGTTCTCTGCCCCTGCAGGGGGTTGGCACTGATGAAGCCTGCCTGATTGAGATCCTCGCTTCCCGCAGCAACGAGCACATCCGGGAATTAAACAGAGCCTACAAAGCAGGTGAGGCTGCTCCCTCTGCCCTCTGCCCTCTGCAGATCCCTGTGCCCTCGGGGCTGTGGCCTCACCCTCTCCCAGGGCCTCTTACTCCTTCCTGGTTGTCTTATCACCCCATCTCCTGCCACCCCCTACACATTGGGCTTTGAGCCAAGACCCAGCCCTTCCCGCTGTTTGTACATGGCGCAGATGACTAAAGTAAGGGAGAGCCGGGGAAAACCTGGATGTGGTTTGGGCCCAGGCTCCCTAGAGGCCAGATCAGCCTGGAGGTCACAGGCTTGTATGTCCCTGGAGGGCCATACGGGCTATTTGTTCCCTCAAGCCCAAGACCTCAGCCTTTTTCTCCCCAGTGCCCACTATTGATAGTGTTTACAATGGGCAGCTCCATAAACAGAGCTATAGAGTGGACCTTCCTTGCTTCTCCCTTTCAGAATTCAAAAAGACACTGGAAGAGGCCATTCGAAGTGACACGTCAGGGCACTTCCAGCGGCTCCTCATCTCTCTCTCTCAGGTACTTTTCCCATGACAGGGCCCCCAAGCCATGGAGGTCAAAGAGGTGGGATCCCACAATGAGGGGAGGGAAAAGAAATGGGGAAGGAGTAGGCTTGACCATACACCTGCTTCCTTTCAGGGAAACCGTGATGAAAGCACAAATGTGGACATGACCCTGGTCCAGAGAGATGCCCAGGTGAGTGTAGTGGCCAAGCTCCTGGGCTTCCTAAAGCAGGGCTGGACCCTGCTTTCTTGCTTCCTGAGAGAAGGGGTTTAGGGTGGAAAGAACAGTAGATACGCTGCAAGTTTCAGACGGGCTGGGCTACTGCTCACCTGTGTGACCTTGAGCAGATCGTCTGACCTCCTGGGCTTCAGTTTCTCCGCCTGTAGTGGGGAACATGTGGGAGAGTAAGTTTCAGTAGTTGATGGATGACAGTTTTGGATGTGGGATTTCACGTGACTGCATACTTTCCCCATGTTTAGTTGCGCATACCATTACGTTTGCAAAGGGGCAGAATTTGCACTTGCCTGTTAAGTTTTTGAGGGTTTGAGCCTAGAAACCAGCTGCCACATTAGTTGAGCAGCCTTAGAATTCTGTCCTTGTCCCCCTTGTGAGTTGCAGACAAAAGGGAAACATCCAGGCATTTGAGCTACTCTCTAGAAAAGTTTGGGTTTCCCAGTAATGAATTTGGATCGTAGTATCATGGCAGGGCAGAGCCGTGACTTCCTGGCGCAGTGGAGTTGACCATACCTGGCCCCCTTCACTGTTCTTACCACCATGGCAGGACACTCACCAGGAGCTGCCAGCGGTCTGATTATCTCTACCATCTGCTGGATTGGAACGAGACCTCAAGGAATGCCACCTTGTTAGGGCTGGTGGAGAGCTACTCCTCTAGTCTGGTCCTTTTGCTTTCCAGATGAGGAAACTGAGGTTCAAAAAGGTTGAGCACTGTTCCCAACTGAAAGCTAGAGGCAGAGCTCAGGCATCCCTGGCTCAGTCCTCTGTGCCCAGTTAGCACCTGCTTCTGCCCTGGTCTCAGACCTGCTGCTTTTGCAGGGTCTACCGTATTCAGTGTCTCTCTGGCTGGTGACATCCATTCTCATTCTGGGACACAGGGCTAGACACCCCTGGGGCTCTGGCTCTTGCTCCAGCGAGAGTTTTGCATGCCATTTCTAGTGGGGTGAAAATTGTCTCGGGCTCTGCTTTCTCAGTCCAGACCTGCTATGGCCTCATCTTGACCTGTGGGATCTCAGCCCCTGATTGCTGCTTTCTGCTCTTTTTCAGGGCTGCTACCTGAGGCCTAGCAGGCACTTTTGAGGCTGTCTAGTTCAGAGGTTGCAGATTGGCAAATACTTTAGGCTCAAACCTTCAGAAGTTTACTAGGCTCTCCTGGGTGACCTGGACCTGGGGTCTGGGTGTGGCCTGTGCCGCCTGTGAATCTTCTTCTCTCTCCAGGAGCTGTATGCGGCTGGGGAGAACCGCCTGGGAACAGATGAGTCCAAGTTCAACGCAGTTCTGTGCTCCCGGAGCCGGGCCCACCTGGTGGCAGGTAAGGCAGGCCGGGTCCCTGTGGGGCCACTTAGGTGAGGGCAGTCAGGGGATTGTGAGGAGACAAAGCTGTGGGAACACTTGGTGGTTCCTCCCTGCGTAGGGCTTTTGCCTCCTCAGAAGAGCCCCCTGGTGGGGATTTAAAAGACAGAGGATTTCCTGAGTTCTGGTAAGCATCCAGTTCTGGAGGTTCCACTTGGCTTGGAAACCTGGTGTCTTCGTACGCAGGAATGTGGAATGTTAGAGCTGGGAGAGTCCTTTGGGAGCACCGATCCAGTGTTTTCAAAGCCTGGCATAAGAAACAGCCATGGCAGTAATACTGGGTGTCATTCATTTACTCATTCAACAAATGTAAATCATGCTCCGCCATGGGCCAGTCCGTCAGGTCACGCAGTGGAGCAGGTGTGGAGACACAATGAGGGGCAGGGCCCTGCAGAGTCTCTGTTCCATGGGCTGCACCTTCTCATTTGGGGAGACAGACAGTAAACAATGAAATAAAATCTGTATCAGATGATAAATTCTGTAGAGGAAAATAAAGCTGGAAACCAGCAGGGAGTGATGGTAGGATCCACCAGGAGGTGCTTGCCTAGTCCTCACTGAGGTCATGACATTTGATTTAAAAACCTAAAGGAGATGCAGGTGCAGAGGCCTGCCTGGGGCTCCCAGCACAACTGAGGAAGTGAAGGGGGACTGTGTGGAGCAGATGGAGTGAGTGAGAGGAGAGACGGCCCTGCTGATGACTTCCCAGAATTGGATATTTATCCTGAGCAAAACAGGAAGCCACTGGAGGGCCCTGAGCAGAGGAAGCTGTGCAGAATCCCTGGCTGCGGTGCTGAGAATGGAGGAAAGGGTGCATGGCCGAGCAGCGAAGCCTGTTGGGAGGCTGCTGCAGGAGCCCAGGGGAGGAACAATGGCGGTAGGGGCTTGTGGTGAGGGGGTATCATGTTCCAGCCCTGTGTGCTGATGACTTGGACACGTGGCATGTGGGAGAGAGGTGTTGAGGATTACGTAGGGTTTCTTTAGGCCGAGCGGTAGGAGAATGGAGTGGCCCTCAATTGTGATAGGGAAGCCTTAGGTGGAGCTGCCTTTAGGTGCTTGTAGGGTGGAGCTGCAGGGAGGCTTCTGGGTTGCTGTGTGTGGAGGTCAGAAGAGGTCTGGGCTGGATGTGGAAGGTAAGGGAGCTGTGGGTAGTCAAAGGTTTCTGTGGCTCTGGAACTGCAGAGCTGATTTGAAGATATATTAATTGAGAAAGATATAGTTAGAGCAGAAATCACGACTTTAATATGCAAATGGAAGCTGAGACTCAGGCTGGGGAAGGAGAGTTTTGTGTCCCCGGGTCAGAGCTGGACTCAGGACCCAGGTCTCCATCATGCTGCCTGCCTCTTTAGGAGTTAGCTGTCCACTCCCGTGGGTGCTTAGCATGTCATATGTTGAGCTGGACTGGCAGGGGTGGGCAGCAAAGAGCCAGGCTGTCTGGGGCAGGCTGGGCCTCAGCTCACAGGCAGGTTGAGGAAGACACAGATGCATGAATAAGGCCAAGGCATGGCAGAGACTGGAGGTGTGGGGGATTTGAGAAGAGGGGACACTGTGTTGGGTGCATGGGAGTGAGCCCTGGAGGGGAATTAAGGTGTGATTTGGTTACACAGATTGGCAGTCCTGAGAAGGGGACCACAGGGAGGGACATCAGGCAGCACACATGACTTGTGATGAAGACTCTGGCTTCCTTGAGAGCTGGGCAGGCCTGGGGCCATGCAGGGTGTGGGAGCAGAGTGGGAGGCGGGGGGTCTTAGGGCAGAGGCCACCTCATGTGAGTCCTCTGTTAGCCTGCTCACGCTGCCATGACAAAATACCACAGACTGGGTGGCTTAAGCAACAGACATTCATTTTCTTACAGTTCTGAAGGCTGGATGTCCAAGAGCAGGGCACCAGTTTCTCCTGCTGCCTCTTCGTGGCTCTCACCGCACTCACATGGTCTTTCCTCTGCACACGCACATCCCTGGGGTCTCTGTGTATCTCCTAACTTCCTCTTCTCCTAAGGAGACCAGGCGGATTGGATCAGGGCACACCCTAGCAGCATGTTTTAACTTAATTACCTCTTTAAAGATCTTATTTCCAAATACGGTTATATTCTGAGGTCCTGGGAGTTGGGACTTCCACATATGAATTTTGGGGAGACACAGTTTATAATATAAGCTTCTATATGTCATCCCCCTAGTTTTCAATGAGTACCAGAGAATGACAGGCCGGGACATTGAGAAGAGCATCTGCCGGGAGATGTCTGGGGACCTGGAGCAGGGCATGCTGGCCGTGGGTAAGTGTCTTGGGCTTGCCTGCCCACCTGCCAGGGACTAACGTGTATCATGAGTGTTCAAGGTGCTCACCTGTCGTCTAGCTGAGGGGTGACATCGTGAAAGGACCACAGGAGCCAAGATTCTCAACCCAGAGTGTCCAGATGCTGGGAAGTCATGCCGCTTCCCTATGCAGTGGAACCCCTGGCCGTCCTGGAGGTGTCTTGCTTGTGTTTGTGGTACAGGCCTAGAGAAGGGAACTGCAATGTGGGTATTAGTGGGAGGGCATCCAGCTGCACTCCCGGAGGAGCATGACTCATATCCTGCCAAGTTTCCTCTAAAAATACATCCCTGCAGGCAGTTTTCAGATGTTTGTGATGGAAACATGTGGAAAGATTTTTACTTGCAACAGCGAAACAGGCCCATGCTGAGGAAAGCTGGCTTGGCTCAGGGGCGGTGGCGTGCCTCTTCCACAGCCTGTGTCCTCCAGCAGGGCCTGGTGGGCTCCAGGTCCCTCCCTGCTGTGCAGAGTCGGGTCCCCGCCCTGGGGCCCTCACAACTCCTCTTTCTACTAACTTGGGAAAATCAGTCTGCCCCTTTTTTCATTATGCTTTTTTTGAAGCTTTCTGGATGGGAGAGATGGAAAATTCTCGTTTCCCTGCCTGCCACCACAGTAGGTCTCGTGGCCTGGGCAGCCTAGGGAGATGCTCATTCCACTCAGCACAGTTTCTCCATGAAGGTCACAGCCTCTCCAGTCTGCCCCTCCTGCCTGAGCAGCAACACAGTTCCTCATCACCACCCACATCGCTTCCCCGCACAGCTGCTAGCCTCACGAAGACCCCCTCCCCTCTGGCTCTTCCTTTTTTCACCACAGTGGTTGCCAGGAAAGAGGGTGGGTTTGTATCCTGTTTCTGCATGTTACTGTTCCAAAGAACTGGAGCCAAGAGCCTCGGATAGTTGAGCCTGGAACAGGAGAAGGAGGAGAAAAGATGGATGCAGTGATGGGTTTGACATCTGGGCCTCTAAGAGGACACTTGTAGACTCCAAGCCTGGCTTGGGCTGAGAATTTTCTGCAGATCTGGTTATGCCAAGTTTCTCTCTTCTAGTGAAATGTCTCAAGAATACCCCAGCCTTCTTTGCGGAGAGGCTCAACAAGGCCATGAGGGTATGTAACTTGCATGTGCAGGTTGGGATGCCTTAGCCTCGCCTTTGCCAAGGGCTGAGGGTGGAAGGCCTGGGGAGAGCTAAATCTCAGCCGAGAGTTCTGAGGACCTGGGTTGGGAGGGGACTGACTGGAGGGCCCAGGGCGGGTGGGAAGTGAGGAAACCTAATGCTCATGCTCTTGGGTGGACTCTCTTTAGGGGGCAGGAACAAAGGACCGGACCCTGATTCGCATCATGGTGTCTCGCAGCGAGACCGACCTCCTGGACATCAGATCGGAGTATAAGCGGATGTACGGCAAGTCGCTGTACCACGACATCTCGGTACGGGCCTGCTACAGCCAGACTGGGCTTCCTTTTGGCATCCCAGTCACCTGTGGACCCTTCCTCCTTGGAGTGGCCATATGCTTGGCCCCTGTGCTGTGTATGAGCATCTTGTTTGTGGACCTCGGACTTGCCCGTTGCCCCTAAACAGGTTATGAGCTTCTGAGGGCAGGTGGGTCATGACCTTGCTGTCGCCCCCACCTTGCGTCCCCCAGCAGCATGAGAGAACACTCAGGACCTCCCCAACCTTGACCCTGACCTTCAGCGTCCCGGCCACCCTGTGATTCCATAATCTGTCAGTGAGAACTCATGTGCTGACCTGACAAAGCACTTCTTGCACTCAGGTTTATGGCGTAGGACACGTAGGAAGGCCATTCAGAGTGAGGGCCCTGGAGATCACACCATTTGGAGTCCGGCTTTTCTACTTGCCAACTGTGTGACCTTGAACAGCTTCCTTAAACCTCCCTGCACCCCAGCTCCATTGTCTTTAAAATGAGAAAATAATCCTTCCCAAGAATGTTGTGAGTATTGAGTGAGGCAGTACAGGTCAAGTGTCTGTTTAATACTAGCCACTGTGTATCACTATGCGGCACAGCAGGTCTGACAAAATATATATTCAGCTGTGTGATCTAATACTCAAATTCTGAACTCACATAAGCCTTGAAATTGCACCATGGGACCACATCCCCACCTTAGACTCAGTAGCATTTGATGATGGTGGGCATGTCATCACGAGAAGCTCACTTCCTTTCCCTGGCTGTACGAATGAAGCTGTTGCTAGAGAATTAGTAATTCTAGGCCGGGCACTGTGGCTCATGCCTGTAATCCCTGCACTTTGGGAGGCCGAGGTGGGTAGATCACTTGAGGTCATGAGTTCGAGACCAGCTTGGCCAGCATGGTGAAACACTGTCTCTACTAAAAATACAAAATTAGCCAGGCATGGTGGAGCATGCCTGTAATTCCAGCTACTCGGGAGGCTGAGGCAAGAGAATTGCTGGAACCTGGGAGGCGGAGGTTTAGTGAGCCTGGATTACGCCATTGCACTCCAGCCTGGGCGACAGAGTGAGACTTTATCAAAAAAAAAAAAAAAAAGAGAGAGAATTAGTAATTCTTTACAGAGTATCTCCTGTATGCCAGCGGGCTGTGGACATCTGGAAGAAACCACATGCCTTGCCCTCAAATTGCTTAGGGTGGAAGGAAATGATTAGAAATGAGCCAAGCCGAGCCTGCACTCTTAGAGTAAGTGCAGTGGCCTCAGACAGAGGAGAGATCCGTGGGACCTGGGAGGCCTGCGTCCTCCACTGGACAGTCACATGTGAGGAGGTTGCGTTTCCTGAGCAGAAGACTGTGTTACATTAAACTGGTAACCTCAATTTAAGGCAGCATAAATGCACCGGGAAAAGCAGTATTGGTTAGCCCTGGGAAGTGGTTTTTAGGACGATCATAATTTTTTTTGTGGGTATTCATTTGACTTGGATAGTTATAGTTGGGGTGAGTGCAGCTTTCCATCTTCTGATGGGGACCTGGGGAAGGTGAAACTGCATTATCTAAGATCTGTTGCGCCTGCTCCAGGACCTGCAGCGGGGGAAAATTTCCCAGGATGGGGCTTCTTCCCTATAAGGGCACTCAGGGCAGAAAATCAGGAGCCAGAGGCTACAAGCAACCATGCCTCCCTTAACGAATGTCTTCCTTGTTTCTGTGGCCAGGGAGATACTTCAGGGGATTACCGGAAGATTCTGCTGAAGATCTGTGGTGGCAATGACTGAACAGTGACTGGTGGCTCACTTCTACCTACGTGCCGGCAACAGCGGTGTCAGGAAAAGGCCAAAAGAATGTCTGTTTCTAACAAATCCACAAATAGCCCCGAGATGCACCGTCCTAGAGCCCAGGCCTGTCCTCAATCCCCCTCACCCATATATTGTGCCACAGGACCTGGGTCGGTCTAGAACTCTCTCAGGATGCCTTTTCTATCCCATCCCTCACAGCCTCTTGCTGCTAAAGTAGATGTTTCATTTTTCTGACTCATGCAATCATTCCCCTTTGCTGTGGCTAAGACTTGGCTTCATTTCGTCATGTAATTGTATATTTTTATTTGGAGGCATATTTTCTTTTCTTACAATCATTGCCAGACAGACACATACAAACACAAATGTGTTTGCTGTGTACACATTGCTGGTGAGGGCGACTGGGTGGTGAAGCGCCATGTCCTCGCTGAGGAACGAAAGGGAGGTGTGCCTGTGTGTCTGGTGAGTGTGTCATGAGCTTTGTTATTGCCAAACTCACTCCTTTTTAGAAAAAAATAGGGGGGCCAGAAAGTCATTCTTTCCATCTTCCATGCAGAAACCATGAGAACAAAGCCAGTTCCCTATCAGTGACAGGGCTGCTTGTAATTTGTGGAATGTGCCTTAAACCTGAATGTCTGTAGCCAAAACTTGTTTCCACATTAAAAGTCAGCCAGCTCTGGAATGTTCTGGAAATGTCTTCCTGGTACCAGCTTGTTTTCTTCTGCTTGATTCTGCCTTGTGGCTCAGAGTTCTGGCCTTATCAGCCAGTGAAAATTCACATAACCTTAGGTAGAAATTTGTGCACAGGAAACCGTGAGCTTACGCTGGTGTTTGGGGACTGGGCTGTAAGGTCATGGGAAGGGAGGCTCCCGAAATCCAGGCAGGGGACCCAGACACCAGAAAGGCAAAGGGATCTTGGTTGGGTGCAGGTGCAGTGAAGTGCACTGAAGGTGTGGTGGGAAGAATGTAGTTCTTCACCTGGGTCCCGGGTGGGAAGAAGGGTATATGCTAATTCCTGATGCCCCTTGGTGGGGGGCAGAGAGAAGGATGGGAACAACCCAGACAGTCACAAGACCAGTGCCTCCCATCAGCGTGCTTCTAGGCTGAAAGGGGCTCCTGGCCCTGGTCTCTGGGAACCCTGTGCCCCTTGGTTGGTGGTGTGAAGAGAGAGAATCCGTAAGAGTTTCTAAGAATTATGGTGTCATGTCCAGAAGCTAGAGCTTGCCCTGCCTCGGGGGTCTCCACTCCCTTTCCAACCTCCTGTGTTGAAGTTTAGAAAAGAGAGGACTAGCTAGACATGGCTCATGCCTATAATCCAAGTACTTTGGGAAGCCAAGGCAAGAGGATCGCTTGAGCACAGGAGTTCAAGACTAGCCTGGCCAACATAGTGAGACCCCTGTCTCTACTAAAAAACTTTGGCCAGGTGTGGTGGCTCATGCCTGTAATCCCAGAACTTTGGTAGGCGAGACAGGCAGATCACCTGACGTCAGGAGTTCGAGACCCTGCCTGGCCAATATGGTGAAACCCTGTCTCTACTAAAAATACAAAAACTAGCTAGGCATGGTGGCACATCCCTGTAATCCCAGCTACTCAGGAGGCTGTAGCAAGAGAATTGCTTGAACCCAGAAGGCAGAGGTTGCAGTGAGCTGAGATCATGCCACTGCACTTCAGCCTGGGCAATAGAATGAGACTCCATCTAAAAGAAAAAGAAAAAAATTTATTTGGGCATGGAGGTGCATTCCCTGTAGTCAGCTACTGAAGGCTGAGGCAGGAAGATTGCTAGAGCCCAAGAAATAGAGGCAGTAGTGACCTATGATTATACCACTGCACTCCAGCCTGGACAACGGAACGAGACCCTGTCTCAAATGAGAAAAAAAGAAATGGAAGAATCCAGAGAGACTAGGCTAGATCAAGCCTGCTGAGTCCTTCTAGGAACCCCACAGAGTGGCTCATCTGCAGACATTTGCTTGAGGACTGCCCCCTAAACATACAGGAAGAATGACACCCAAAGGGTGGGGGGCAGCCATGAGCTGAGAACTAGCCTGGTCTACCTAGACCTGCCCTCCCAAGTCAAAGGCTGGTGTGGGCACTGAGTTTGATACCAGGTCCTGGTCAACATGGCTCTGCATCAGAGTCCATGCCTCAAGCCCAACCTGAAACCCCATCCCTGCTGGTCTCCCAGCAACTCCTCTGCTAGGGCAGACCCCTTGCCCTTGGGTGCCAGGTGGGACCTGCCTGATGGGATGGGCTGCTTGGCATTACACAACTTGCCATGAACTCAAGGTGACGCTCATGGCCTCCTGAGTTGTGACAGGGCCTAGAACCAATGTGCTCTGATGTGACTATGTTCTGTGACATTGCCTTGCCCTGGTTACACTGAAGTTCCCACCCTCGTGTCTAGCAGGCAATATCGCACCTACAGATACATTTACTTTGGTTCCCAAAGAGTGTTTTTAGACATTTGAATTTGTCGCCAACATTTAATCATTGAGAGATTTATATTTTTAAAAATCTGGAATTCTGGCTTCTCTTGAAAACTCAAATTCTGGCACCATGGGGCTTACATTCCTGCATGGCTGGAGCTGAGTTGCAGCTGTCCCTTTGGGCCTGTACTCCTTATTTGCCATAGGCTCCATTTCCTCTTGTATTACAGCAAGCAAGTGTTACCCCTTTGGCCCCTGCAGGCCCTTGGGTGTGAGACCCTGGTCTACACACTTGGGGACCACCTATTGTCAGGTACATGGATGTGGTTTGGACAAGAAATAGACCGAGGCGGACATCCAGGCCAGAGTGACTCGGCGAGTTTAGGCCGCAGGTGCATACTCCACTTGTTATATAACCTGTTTGTATAAGTTCATTATTTGGCTCGAAGCCACTATCGTTTGGAAAAGGTATAACTGCCCTGCTGATGCTATACAGATGTTCTTGGGCTCGGATTGGCATGGCTCCACATGGTGTGCACTGGCACCCAGAGAGAGAGAGTGAAGCTACCAACCCCTGTAAGGGAGAGTGACCATCTGGCAGACGGACAGAGAGGAGCCAGGACACAGCTCGGCTTGTGCCCACAGGGAAAGAGTTAAGCTGCTGACCCTGTAGCTGGCGTTGCAGGCCAGGGAGTGCAGCTGCAAGCATGCAAGCATGGGGGCGGCAGGAGCTGCAGAGCTGGAGCAGACAGCCGAGATAAAGGCAGACAGTGTGAGAGAGCTGCTGATGAGACAGCTGCTGAATAAAGCTACATTTTACCTGCCTACAGCCTGCCAAATGTTCCTTCAGCTATCGCCCATCCACCCACTCCCCTCGAACCTCAGGATGGGCTGGAACCTGACCCTGGGCATGACAATTGGCCTAGTCATGGACCTAACACCTTTGTTTGTCCCAGTCCTGGTTCTCCTTGTTTTCCTGTACCTCTGGTTGCCCTCATGGTCACTCCCAAGGGACCCAACCCATGTTAAGTATGGGCTGGAGGACTGCATGAATGCCTTATGATCTTCCCAGAGGCAAAGGCATCTACTGCCTTCCAAGGTCAGTGGGGCGCTGGGATCAACACTGTTTGTTATGCTTAGGACAAAAGAGATAGACATGCAACCTTACAGGCCATCTTTCTGGGACAGAACACAATGGGTCTTTTCCTGCCTCCTGAATATGTTAGTCAAGGCCAGTCCATGCTACATATCTAATCTGACTTCTAAAATAGCAAGTAGAGGACAAAGCACCAGATGAATTCAGCCCTGGGAGAATTTGCAGGAAGAAACACTATTAGTTAAGCTTTGCACCTGAGACAAATGGCCCCACTCGCTTTACCCTAGTCCTGGTGGCATTTGTCTCAGGTGCAAAATTTAAGAAGGGAACCTTGGAGT